ATATATATATATATAGATGCGAGGGCAAAGCGAGGTAAAGCGGGGAAGGAGAGGGAGAGAGCGAGGAAGGGTGAAGCAACGAGAGGTGGGAGAAAGAGCAAACGACCTTCAAGATCAAAGAGTAAAACTGCTTAACACGTTAACAACAACTTTTCAAACAGCTATAGCTGATCTCATTTCTATACTTCCTACAGTTAACAATCGAAAGGTAACAAAAGGAAAACACAATAACAACGAATATTTTTACACGATCAGAAGTGTAGTTAGATACAACTGTAGAAAAACATGTGCATGCGTGCGTGCTTACGTGTGTGCGTACGTGCGTGTGTGTATGCATGTATGTGTGTGTGTGTGAATGGGTATGTGTATGGCTGTGTCGATGTGTGCGTGTATGTGTGCGTGGGTTTCTTGTGTGTATCAGAACGTATACCATATATATGGCTCACATTGTTGTCAATGCATAAGAACCATGAAAAAAGTTTCATTAGAAAAGAAGCTAGATATCTATAGTGAATAAGAAAAACATTTTAAAGCATTGTGGTGGAAAATGGGAATATGAAGAGATATAGCGCTTACGTTCAACAGGAAGATATGTTCATCGCTGAAGTCACAGTAGAAGAACAACTAATGTTCTCGGTAATCAAGATTTCCCACTTTTAAACAAGTTTTATTAGACCATTTTTAACAGTAAGTAATAAGTGGAGGCATCTTGTTTACATTTATGTGTTCCTATTATGGTCAAAATTTATGTCAGAAATGTGTTTCCTGGATGTTGGGCCGCGATATATAGCGGGGGATTCCCGCAGGGTCTCCCAAGCCGAGAAGTAGTCTGGCGTTTCCATCACTAAACCGAGCTAAGAGTAAACCAATACCAGGATTCACCTTCCTATTATCAAGCTAATCGCATGGTGACAAGTATCCCTTTGTTCCACAAGGGCGGCGACTGCCTGTAGTGGTGATGACCTAGGGCAGACTTTGGCCAGGCTGTCTTCAGGACTTCGAGGAGCTACAGTGGCTAAACCAGCGAATCTCCGAGGAATGGAAATTATGATGCGGCCAGCACAACCAGTGAAGACGGGCCATCCAACTATCCAAGTATTATAGTCAAAATAGTGAACATAATGAACATCTTTCATAGAACTGAATTTTTCGACAAAACTAATTTGAACGATCGATGTGAAAAGTGTAGCTGTATACTACAGTAACCTACGGTTCGTAAACGCAGCTAATTTTCCGGCTCCGGAGAGATGGAAGGCTTGGTGGGCCATGGGTGATCGATTCAACGTATGCGTTGCAGGACGCCTTCGCCCACTACGCCGCGCTCGTCCATCATATGAGGGTCCATAAAAAAGTGGCTGCGACTAGTAGCTAATAGTTGACGACATTCCGATAGGTGAACAGAGTGCACTCATTCGATAACTTGTTGGTGAAAGTTATCCTGGTATCTCTGTTGCAGCTGACATGGAACTGCACTATGATCCCTATCGAAAAGCTTCAAATATTATTGAATTCTCTTCCACCAGCACGGTTGTTTACGCTTATTGGAAAATGTTCTACGTGTTCTCAGATCTAATATCAACAAGGAATCGACTAAATACTCTTCGCTTTTCCTGTATCATTTGTCTGCCTTAGTGTTTTACTTCGTTTCGTTGCAATTTTTCGATTGATTTGAACATTCGACGTTCTTTCTAGGCTCGTCTTCGTATGCCCAAAAATGCGACCGAAGATGAACGCAAGGAAACTGTTGAAAATCTCATAACATCGGTAAGTAAGGCATTTGATCTTTCATATCTATCACCTCACCTATGTATGCTTGGCCTGCTACATTAGTTTCCATGTCGATCGATTGTTTTATTTCTGTATTACTTTTTCAGATGGGACTAATTAGTTGCAGATATTCGAGAATCGGTACAGCAACGGAAAAGTTTATATCAAAAAGTGAACGTAAACGGTTAGCATTCGCTTCAGAAGTAGGTGTTCTTCTCACTATGACCTGTGGCTGTCTCAAAAAAGAAAAAATGACCTGCACCGTTCCTAGATTATCACGAATCCGTCCATTTTGTTTTGTGACGAACCAACGTCTGGTCTCGATTCATTTATGGCATTGCAGGTACGTTTCAAGTGACGCTTTTGTGGTATTATCTAAAGCGATGAGAAGAAACTTTTTTATCGGACTCCGGATTTTCAGTGTTCTTGGCGAGAGCTTATCCAAATATCTCCATGCCATGCCACACGGATTTACTCTCAGCATGCAACTGCGCTAAAATGTGAAACTGGTCAACTTAGTTGATCCTGTTTAGGAGCCATTTAAACAATTAGAAGAGCTTTTGTTGTTGATAGACCAAATAGTTGTCTAGGGCGCGTAAGCCACACTAGTCAGAGGTGCTCTGCAATGTAGAAGTGCTCGTTGGTTGGCAGCCTGCACGTGGGAAAAATTGTGAACTCCGTCTTTCCGGACTGGGCTGGCTCCTTTTTTTAGGATATTTGCGTAGAAGGATGAAAACACTGAAATGATACATTGGTAACTCACCATAAATCATGCTGCATGCCAGATACGTAGTCATTCAATCATACTATTCTACGAATAGAATAGAATGCATGGAGCTTCCGAGTAGTGGATAGATCAACACTCAAACGATTTTGCTCTTATTTTACATGCTCTCCCAAAGGAAACATTTTTAAAAAGGGATCAATAGATGCGATTGATATCAAGCCGTGGTCGCGGACGATTTGGTTCATAGTCGACTAAACGTCATGGGACACGTCTCGAACGTTACGCTCAACGGAATATTATTCCGTCATTGGGACTTCACAATTAAGTGGGAGAAAGACGAAGAATTGTATCGAGTAATTGGCGTGACCTTGTACTCTTGACGGAGTTGAGCTTACCAGTTTTCGTTGAAAAAACTCCTTCACTACTTCTTAAACACCCCTTGTCTAGTACTAACACACCAAGGAAGAAACTCCGTAACGTACTTTCAGTCACATTGATAGCAACTTCTTCTGGTGCTCGTTTTCCGCGAATCTTCCACTTATTTATATAGTGATAAAGACCAACCATACAGAGTTCATATGGATGAATAACGTGCTTCTTCCCTGTAAAAAACGGTTTAAGATATTGTGTGGGATCACGCGTGAGTTCGGGTACGGTGTGCTTATTCTATTGTAGAGCGTCCAGAAACGAACACATTAGTGAAACGAGTGGATTGCTCATTGTCTGTATAAAAGAATAGCTAGACAGTGAACTTAAACAAAGTACACCATTAGGCACAGGAAGGATAAAGTTGCATACCGGAGACAATTTTAAAATAAAAGTCGCTGTCCTCGGGAATCTTAAACGCTAGTGAACAAAACTCTGCAGTCATTTTTGATAAATTTTAGAAATCCAAGAGTGAACAGCGAGGAATGTCGTGTTATCATGTGTGGTCTCGCCTCTTACCTCAGACTGATATTTTAACATGAGAGATGCACATTACCTATTCGGAACTCTGTGCAGTTGGTCTGACTCATAAAAACGGTGAACTGAACGAGATGTTTCCAATACGATTGAAGTCTAGGTTTCAGGTTTTTCCATTAAGGTTTTGGAACTAGTTGGTCGACCGGAGTGCACACTAATATGGTTTTCCAACGCACTGAACGAGACAGAATCAGTCGAAACGTCCACCATATTAATAAATGATGTAATAACAGCCTCACGTCTGCCATACTACATCAATGATCAACAATGATAAAAGTCGGTTCTGCAAAAGCTTTCTTCCTTATGAAAGATTGAAAATTTCAGGTTATTGCGGCATTAAAGATACTGGCATCAAAAGCAAAAACTGTTATCAGCACCATTCATCAACCATCTACTGAAGTCTATCAAATGGCCGACAGGTGAACTCTTATTTTTGTCTTCTTTTGTGGAAAATTTTTCGGATACCAGGTGGTGGATGGCCTTCTTCATCCGGTCTGCTTGCAGAATAATTTTATTGGCGAACGGTCATGTTGCTTATCAGGGTGGTATGGATGGAGTTGAGAAATTCTTTACATCGTGAGTGGTTGAGTTAATTTGTGAAGTTTTATAAAATGATGCAAAATTTTCGGCGCTGCATGACTTTCTTTGTTTCCGATCTTTCTCTCTCTCCCTCTCTGCCTTTGTCTCGTTCTCGCTCTCCTCCTCTTATTCTTTCTTCACTCCAGCTTTGTCTTTCTGTTTTCACCTCTCTGTGTTTTTGTTGCTACTTCCTCCCCCATCTTTCTCTTCTCTTTCTGTCCCTCTCTGCCTCCATTTCGCAGTTTCTATGTCGTCTTCCTTTCCCCTTCTTTCATTTCCAGCTGCTCCTCCCCTCTGTCTTCTCCTTCAACTTTTTTTCTCTCCATCTACGTTTCTTTGCTTCTCTCTGCAATTCTTTCCCTTCATTATTCCCTCTGTCTTCTTCGCTTACACAATGCCGCATGCAATGCTGCCCAATAAGTAAACGTTTTCTTCTTGTTGAGCAGAGAGTAGTTTTTCCAAGAGATGAAATCGTTTCTAATCTTGAATACGATCAAATAAGTAGAGGGAAACGCTGCCACTATGATTGGTGAAAATGGTTTAGGCCATGACGATTGTACTGTGGAAGATTGGAGGTGTCACCTGCTACTGATGTTCACATAAACTAATAGTGATAAGAATCTCTGGCTGAATTTTTTTCGAGTTTTATGGCCTTGACATCCACTTGATATGGTTGGGCTTATCTGCATAGCTATATGACTTTCCGTCAACAATTTCGTTTTGAGTAGTGGTGCAGAAAGTCAGAAAACTTATTCCTTTCTTGAAATAGAAAATTTCAAGCAGAATTCAGCAAATGATATCTATGGATTTGCAGATGTTCATATCCCTGTCCGATGTTCGTAAATCTACCGGATCACTTTATGAAAGTTCTTTGCCGCGATGAGAACACGCCGGAGCAGGACCACAATAAAAGAATCAAGGTGGATGAAGTCATTTCTTGTAATCGCTTCTATTTCAAAAAGTATCACCATTAAAATGATAAATGCTTTCTTGCCGACTGTTCTATGCACAGATTTGTTTCGGAGAAGTTTAAATTTTGCAACTGGACCGTATTAGAAAATGTCTGGAGCATATATACTGACTGAGATACGGTATAGTTGATGAAGCGTTATACGGCTGAAAGCACAAAGCGTTATACACTGGTCTTCGAAAGACGCTATGGATTCGAGTCCATTCATGATATTGCAGATTTTCGACATTCTTGTTGAACACACACAAGGTGTTACTTTATTCTTTATTTCGACAAAGCTGACATTTCTGCAGTATCGCCTTATTTGGAGCCTGGAAGGGTCCTCGTGTTTGCCCATCAAGAATATCGAGAATTATTTGTTTAATGCCGAGGCTAATAGAAAGTTGGTCGTAAAAATTGCATATTTGTTTGCATTCATATGTGGCATATACAGTGACTTTCGGTGAAGTAGCGATGTCTCAAGTCAGTGTTTTTATCTCCGCAGAGAAGTCTGTTACCGATTTATCGACCGCGGCTGAATGGAATGGCTTAGTTTGCCTGAGCTGGGGGACAGAGCTAACGACCATGCTTGTGATGCTAAGAAGACTATAGATGTGACTAATTCATAAAAGATGAAGAATGACAAAGCGTTCAGGGTGGTACGAGTATAAGATGGTAGCGTTGATTCGATATCAATCAAAAATCCGTATTTGCTTATAACCTTCTAGAAATCCTTAAAAACTTTTGAGAAAACCAGTTTTTGAATCATTTTCTGGCGCTCGTCCATGCGTTTTCGCAAAATTTTGCGTTCGAGACAATCGGACTTTCATAGCTCGAAGAAAACTTCATATCTTTGCTCAGAAAAGCACCATTCCACTTGCACTTCACTTTTCTAGCTGTATCTCATTAGATGACTTCTAAGCAGAAGTTCACGATAAACTTAAGAAAATTCCAATATTTTTGCGGTTCAATCCAGCAGGCTTAGTGTTTAACAGTGCTTTATGTCTTTGATGGTGAAAATCAAGCCCCATCACAAAGAATTGTATTAGGCAAACATAAACGAAGAGTCGAGTCAGCAAAATTATAAGTGCGAGCATCTCACCACTCCATTGTTTTGCTCTTTATTATTTTCGGCAACGAATGCTACCCGAATGTGTACCTTATACGAAAACTTCATATTTAAAATTTGGTGAAATTGAAAGAGTACTCATCCTAGTTTAGGAGATTGTCAATGAATTTGAATCCTCTGAAGATGGAAAACACGTTCACTACGTGACACATATTTTCACGTCTACACAGAAACGAATGAAATTCGACACAAACCGGAGACCTGGGTAAGGTCTTTCTTCAATTGGTTTCATAGGAGTGTAGCCTAGTTTTGTCACAATGGGATTATAACAGGACGAAAAAAAGAGGACTCTGAAGTTCATCCATTCATACGTTTAGGCTTTATTGTCGTCGTATTACATCCGAAACACCAGATTTACAGCAAGCGGTTAACGATGAAGCCGTTGACTTTAGTCAATCCATTGAAGATTCACCACTAATTCCATTCCATTCGTACCATTATAGAAGTGATTCAGTGCGTAGTTGTCCTATACAATGACTTGTGCTGGACCACCGATCTATCATTTCAGTGCATTTATCCTCCAAAATAGGTCTGGTATTACTCGATGCGATCCAGAAAGACGGAAGCGTTGTGTGCCCGGGGTGTGGAATTGAACCAGCGACAGATCCTAGTATGTATTGCAAGACACCTTTAACCCCTGCGCTGTATGCACCTATTTTGTTTTTTATTTGACCCGTCTTCATGTCTACTGTGCGGATCACAGCAGTTCTCACATTATATTTGATTCCTTGTATCCAATACTCACGAAGATTTTCCAACTTGCGGCTACGTCTAGCCTCGGTTGCTGCTTAAAGATTTTCATTTTATTTTGAATGTCATAGAATGGTGGTCGAGCATTTCTCCTTGGAGTCCTGAGTTAACAGGACTGGAGCGTTCCCAATTGGATTACAGAGAGTAACTTCTTTCCAGACAACTCCAGTACCAATTTTCCTACCCGGGAGGCTTGGTTGGCTTGGAACGGAATCGAACCTTCACTAGGCTCGTGATGACGGACATCATTAGCACTGTGCTATTCGCTTTCTTTATGCTATTTAGCTTATGTTCTTTGATGTTTAAATGCGTACATTAGATGGATTTTAATATTGTAACACTATAGGTGCATACACAATGTGCATACATTATATTATCATCATATCTTTACATTATTATCCAATATTAAAATCTATCTAATGTGCACATTTAAACGTGAGAAGACATAAGCTAAAAGAAATCCGGCTGACGAATGAGAAAGGAAGAAAAAAAATTAGTCCAAATTTTTTTCTAAACGGTGAATTAAATCATTTTCTCAACGGTTCACCGCCTGACCATGGCTGGGAGGTGTTCGTAGGTGTCGAGCTGCGATATACAGCGGGTGAATTCATCCAACTGGCTAGGTCTTTCAAGCTGAGAAGGAGTCCGGCGTATTCATCAAGAAGCCCAGCCAGTAGTAAGCCAATACCAGGATCCACCACCGACCTAAAATCAAAGTCGCATGAAGGCAAATCTCCCTCTGATCCACAAGTGCTGTGATTGCCTGTCGTGGTGACGACCTGTGGCAGACTTTGGCCGGGCTAGCCTAGGAACCTAGGAAAACAGAATGGCTAAACCAGCAAGGCCCGGAAAAGATAGAAGTTATTCTGGGGCCCGCAGAACCAGTAAGAACGAGCCATCCTAGCATCAAAGTAAATCAAATCATGGGTAGATGTATTTTAGTAGAACACAGACATTTTAGGGGATCTTTTCATATTCACGTAGTTTATAATGAAGTTGTTCATTTGTGCAATATTTCCTGCCATACGGGCCTTTCGATCGTTATCGCAACATCGCATCGCAAACTTGGGTAGTAGAGCCTTTATATACGACAGTGATATTGCAATGGCTATAATAATAGCTTAAGTGTATAAATACAAGCAATAACGGGGCCAGCAGGTAAAGATAGTACAGTGATCGATAAGAAGCACTGTCTATGGTAAAATATCTCGTATAACATTGTTAAAGTGATATAATGGAAAAATAACGACGTCCGTGGTCGGGCTGAAGTGCGACAGGGTATTGTCACGCATCCATAGATCAGTGGCAAACCTTCGGATAAGCGGAACCTACCACACTCTGCACTTGGCTGAGGATCATTACGTGAACACACAGAGTGCAACAACGAAGAATGAAGGGGTGCAGACATAGTGTGCAGAAAGATGGACTGCTTGGTTGGGATGGTAAGGTGCAAAACACTACGGAATAGCTACGTTGTCATAAAGAAATAAGTGATAGTGGCATATAAGGCACAGTTAAATGTTGTTAGTAGTGGACATTAATACCATAGCAATTGTAAGGTATTATGAAAAAACGGTAACTATTCAGAGGAATAGTTACCAAATAGTTCCTGGAAATCCTACCGTACGCTCAACGTCAGAAGTTCAGGTATCTTTCTTCATGGTTTGTGCAAACATGGTGGTTATTTATGCGATCATTCCGAACTCAACTGAGAAATTCGGCCGTCTTGCGAATTCGATTTCTCCATGTTATGGTAAGCGTTATCGACAGTTTGGTCTTGCACAAGTGCCCTGCTTCTAATGGACGTGGCTAAACAGTATGAGGACCGTAAACTAGGTCGTGACTAAAGTAATACGGGAAATAAAAATCTGGAAAATTATTGGCATTGGAACGTTATCATTCTCGGTGAGGAGATGAGATATTGCATAGATAAAACCATTGACACCACTCTAATCATTGCGTATGATTTCTACAGCGCGTTTACTGTCGACACATAGGTGCTGTCAGAGTAGTTGCGCAACCATAATGACTTGCCTGAGCTTTATAATAAGTACAAGCTAAACCATAACTACAGTAATACGGAGAAAGAAAATCTTAAAAGCTGTTTATATTTGAGCGTTGTTATTCATCAGCGAGTGTGTGAGCTAATAGGCAGCCTAATCTAATCAATAGATACGATTTCAACTATGCGTTCACGAGAACTGTTTGCGTTGGAAATGTGAGAATGTTAATTATCGTTCCGTTAAAAAGCACAGTATTTCAACACTGTTTAAAACTGTGAACACTCGACTCGAACCATCGGAGGTTGAAAAAAATGAAAACGTCGAAACGTCAGCCGAATAAAGTTTCTTTTTTTATAAATGAATGTTGTATTAGCTTAATCATCTAAGAATATATTGCAAAGATCTTTAGAAACGCTGTTGCTAAGATACTGATCTGTCGGAGCACTGATTTGGCTCTATTTCCAATACTGTGTTATTTCATAGAGCTGATTTACTTTTTTTGGTCATTTTAGGTCTTGTCGTTAATTCTTGGTTGTGTTTATTATCAAGTGGAATTCACTAAGGATTCGTTAATGAACTACAAAGGATCTGCTATGCGTGCTTCGCTTGATATGGTTTTCATTTTTCTCTATCCATGCATCTCTGTGAGTGATGACTAATATGCCGATTTTATTGCTTTTAAAGCCAAATAATTAAATCATTATTGAAGCCATATCTCCTTATCCACACATTATCGCTAAAAAATCATGAATTGATCTGATATTTTCCATGTGACCCGTCTTCACACAGGGTGCAGATTCCAGCATTTCAAGTCTTCGAGTTTGCGAGTGGGGTCGCTTGATGGAACTTGAGGATTTTGTCTTCTTTAAGAATGTCGTTGAATACTGGCGGAATGTAATACTCCCTTGAATCCCATGATGGCCATGCATTTTCCAGCCAACTGATTTCAAGGTGTCGGCGGCGTGGAATGCAGGATGTCAACGTAGACGCGACCGCATGCTGTCACATATGCTTGAGTATACGGTGGTACAGGTTGTACAGTGGGCATAGCTGTTCTTGTGGAAGCCGATACGGAGAGCCGATCCATCTCGTGAAGCAAACTATTACACATGCTAACGTAGTTTCTCGATCTTGATCCGCGCCATGCTCAACTCTTTGTTGGCAACGCTGGCACGGGCGACATACCGCGTGATTAAAGTGTAATCCGAAAGTATTCGTATAGGTAACATCAACGAATACTCACTGTTTTGGGATATTCTCTGGTGTAATCTTTACCACTTCTTTACCGCACCTCGTCTCATCTGTCAATGCTAATATTTCTCATAAGTTCAGAAGCTCTATCTCTTATTTCGTTACCAGTAACACCTTTATTTCATTCCTGTATCGTGATCACTCCTTACGTTGTTCAAGGTATTTACTGGCGAGTTACCGATAGTGGTTCGTGAATACCATGCCCATACATATCATCCAACTGCATATTTTGTCGCAACTAATCTGGCAGATGTAAGTACCATAATCTAAACGCTAGATTTCGAAAAAAAAAAGCTTTAAGTACAGTAATCTGTGGCTTGATTTTAAAGAAAAGACAGAATACGACTAAGAAAACAAATAGTGTCAATTTTTGACTTGTAGCATATCTATCGATGTGCAATAAACGAGGGTTAAACGAAGTTTTAAGGTTGCACAGTATATTATTTTACCGACTATCTACTCAGTTATTGTCTATGGTTTTGCTGGTAAGTTCTTTTGCGTGTACCACATGTGGTGTATGTGTATGTATTAGATAGGTGCAAATGAAATGTCCGATTTTATGGTTTTATTTCCCGTGTAATTTTTTTAAAATAAAGTTTGTTTTTGTGTATTTTTAATATATATTTTTAAAGCAGAAAGTCTTACTTACTTAATTGATACTTGAACGGCCCATCTCACCAGTCGTGCACGCCCCAGCACAATCACCATTTTTCGGAGATTTACTGGTTAAGCCATTGTGCTTCTCTGGAATTCCGAGGACAGCCTGGCCAAAGTCTGCCCAGGTTCTCACCACCACAGGCAGTAGCAACTCTTGTGGGCCGGAGGGAGGTTTCCCACCATGCGACTTTGATACCAGAATAGTCGTGGATCCTGGTATTGGTTTACTCTTAGCCAGGCTTGCTGATGGAAACACCAGACTCCTTCTCAGCTTGGAAGACCAGAAAGTCTGCTCTTTTCATATCTAGCACTGGTTTTTTTTAAAAGATTCATTAAATAAACATTTTCATAGGCTTTAACTTTAGTGTGAATCAATGTGATATTCGTGCCTTTTTTGTACGATTGGAAGAGTGGACAAAATGCCGCAGCAGGAGCTCGGAATACCATGCAGTTTGGCGTGAAGGTAATGTTAGTGAATCAACAGTGCGAGCATAATTCAGGAAATTTCGATCTAGTGAGGTCGACCTCGAAGCTAAGGAAGGCCATGGACTACCCAATGAACCTTACGACGGCGAAATGAAGGCAATAGTGGAAGCAAACGCGCGTACAACTGTTCGAGAGCGTGCAAAACAACTTGGCATAAGCACAAGAACAATTTCCACTCATCTGAATGGCATAGGAAGGATAAAAAACTCGACAAGTGGGTGTCGCACGAATAAAACGATAATCAAAAATACCACAGTTTCGAAGTGTCGTCTACTCTTATTCTGAGCAATAAAAACAACCCTTCATCGAATTGTGATGTGCGACGAGAAATGGATTCTGAACGACAATTGGCGACGTTCAACTCAATTGCGATCAGGCTTCACAGCACTTCTCAAAGCCGAAATTGCACCAAAAAAGGCTATGGTGAATGTTAGGTGGTCTGCAGCTTGGCTGATTCATCACAGCTGGAGAAACCCTGGAGAAACAATTACGCCAGAGAAGTATTCCCAACAAATCGGCGAAATGCACTGAACTTCAACAACAATGACCGGCATCAGTCAACAGAAAAGGACCAATCCTTCCCCGCTACAAAGGCCTCACGTTGCGGAACCAGCGCTGGAGAAGTTGAACGAGTTCGACTACGAAAGTTTGCCTTATCCGCCATATTCACCAGACCTCTCGCCTACCGACTATCACTTCTTCAAGAACCTTGACAACTTCCTGGGCGAAAATTACTTCACCAACCAGGTTGACCCAAAAATGCCTTCAATGAATTCATCGCTTCCAAAACTCCAGAATTTTGTGCAAATGGAGCAAACAATTTTGCCTCCTATTGGGAAAAGTGTTCTGATTTTAATGATGTTTATTTAGACCAATAATTAGTATGAAAAATTTGTGGTTGATTAAAGTTTACATCTAAAATCGGACATTTTATACGTTGCAACATAATATGTATATACATGGATATGTATACACATACAAGTGTTGATGTATAATATGCATTTGTGTATGTTTGCTGTGTGGTGGTTTGCTGTATAAGCGAAGTATTTGAACTGTCCGCTCAATCCCGCTGGTGGGTGACTACTGATGGCAGCGTTAGGTAGAAAACGAGAGAAATGCAAATCAAAGTTCTCAGTGGTGCAGTGCGTAATGCGCGAGCCCCCGGTAGTCGTGGTTCGATCTGGTCAGAGGTTGAAGTTTTGCGAATATCTCAGCAACGTTGTGATTGTATTTCACATCATACCCTGTCGTGAAAAATTATAGCAGGCAGCAAATAAAAGGTTAACATATATGAACTGTATTTGGTACCCTTGTGATTGTGTTAGTACTTACAGTGTGTACACAATGGATATGCGTGTGGTGTGTAACGCGTATAGCGCATGGTTATACTGTGTATAATGGCTATATAGTGTTGTTTCTCCGTTCGTATGAGAGGAAGTGCTCTACGGAAAGCGGTTTACAATCATTTAAACTTTTAATGTTTTTTTTAACGCCTTTATCTCCAAGGTTACTCAAAGCTGTTCCTGCAGTACTTTGAATTTAATGTTCTTAATGTGACAATTGCAAATGTTGCTACATCGGCCGGTTCGTATTTCTTATACCATTTCTTATATCAAACATTATTTATTAATTTATTTATATGACCCACCCGTCATCACTTGTACTGTGTGGGACCCAGCACGTCTTGAATTCAATTCGCTTTGCTCGCATTTACCGTCCACAAGGGTCTTCAAATGTTCAGCGTGTTGTTTCGCCTGCTGCTTGAGGATATCGTATCCAATACGAGTTCTTTGAATGCCGATTAAGTCATTCTTCCTTACAGCCTATAGCCGAGCGAAGGCGTTACCGCGCTGATTGGAGGAGAACATTGTAGATTGAAGGTTCGAACCATTACCTTGTTTCCTAATAGTGTGCATACTAACCACTCCGCGAACCCCAGTAAAAAAAGTGCGCCTATGAATTTGTAAATTCCGGCAAAATCTTCTATAATTTTTGTATATTTGAGTCAGCATGGAGTTAATACAAAATCTTTTATTTGGCTAACGTTTCGATGCCTTCGCCTTCCTCGGAGCCGTGTTGATTCAACTTGATTGCCCACAGCTGGTCGTTGTTGCGACGTGGATGTTCGTAGTCTCATCGGGTGAAAACTTTTCTATAATCTCCTTCGTGGAGTAAATATGAATGACGAGTAAAGAGATGAAGTCAGTCGTAGAAGCTTCCTTTAACTAGATTTTACTGGTACTGTGGTTTTTTGTACTTTCAAAAAACTGGTAGAAAGCTGTAGGGTAACTGCGGAACGCCCACAACGGTCGGCATTAATGAATTTACCAAGGATAAGGCCGAATTGTTTTCTGTCCTGAGTACAAACAGAAATGTCATTCCAACCAAAAAGAAAATGCCATCCACATTTTCGACACTGCTCCCTCCCACTGCTATTGACCTCTTGCAAATTTTGGAATGAAGGCCATTTCACTCTTTGTATTCCTTCGCTTGCTTCCTTGGTCAATCCGCTGCATGATAACATGTCGAGGAGAAGGACTGAATAGTACCGTTTCCAGTACAGTCAGATCAGAATAAAACAACAACCCACCGTCATCAATTGTTACTGACTCACTAACTTATTGATTTGGCTTTTATGCTAGTCTAAATGGAAAATGTTCCAACATTCGCACATTCAACATTAAGACCCTGTTGTCATTGAGGCCCAGAGCGGTCGGCAAGTACTGCCTAGTTTACCGGCTTGATATCATATACAAGATCTTTGCCGAACTCGTCGTCGACGGCCACGCAGTCGGTTTTCGTGCATTAGATTTAGATTTGTCGTTCTATAACTGGTGCGGAGTCTTAATACTTATTTGTGATCAGTTGAGTTTGCAATCAAGAATGTCCAACTCTTGTGCTTCGATGGAGAAGATTAGCAAGCTAGTGAACCAACATCCAGGTCTACTTCAACACACCATGAACAATTCCATAGCTACTCTCAGCGGGCCACAAAGAAACAGCTCAAAATCGCTATTATACAAAGAATCTCTTACTGAGAATATGTAGGTCCGGATTCATGGGCCGACATTCCCCATTTTAAATGGTACTATCCTCTTATATGGATATATTTGTAGGATATGCAGCAGCTTGTATCTTTGGTGATAATATCACTGCTACTACATTTTTTCCGTTAATTGTCTCTCCATTATTAATTTTAGGTATGTATAGTTTCAAACCGTTAGCCACCACTAACTATAGGAGAACTTTAATTCACTGAGATTATAAGAGTTCATTATCGTAGTGGTTAGCTGGCTGTTCAACAGGATATAGAAGGAAATGCCGGGATCTTAAGCTGCCACCTTTCTAGGTTTAGTGTTTACTCAACCTTGGAACCTTGAAACTCTAAGAACTTAAAATTGATTCTGTCCAGAATATTCAGTTATATTCCTGGTCTTGATGGGTTTTCCACAATACGCAGGGCGCGTGTGGCGCAGTGGTTGGAGGCGTCACTGCAACACACACGTGGAATCGATCCCGCGACCGTGGCTCAGCAAGCCTTCCATCCCTCCAGGGTCGGCAAATTGGTAGCAGACTTGTCTGGGAAGGTAACAGCACTGGCTCGATACGTCGGTAGGCCACCGCGAGTCATTGTAAAGGATAGATATGCATTCAATCACCTCCAACAATACTTAATGAAGTCGAATATACGGCGCATACTCTCAGGGATTGATCAACGCCTAGAGCTTTATCCTTTTTTTTTATTCCTGGCGTTACTTCCATTGGAAATCTTGAAAACTGTAGGAATGCAGAGTTTCTTTGACGAATTTCAGCTGGATTTTTGATTGATGTGAGAAGTATTCCGATTTATTTCAAAATATTCACTCCATTGTCATGGTTTAAATATTCATATGAAGCACATCTTATTGTTTTACTTCGTCCAATAAACGAAATTAAAGGTGAGTGATCATTTACGGTACCATCGGGTGCGTACAATATTCCCTTATACCCTAACACCGAAATTCAGACGGTTTCAAAAATCTTTAAACAACAAATGTTCTGCTTGAAAGTGATATCCTAGTTGTTTATCGAATTCATCTTGGTTTCTTGTACTATTTTTGCTGGACTTCCAGAAATTTTAAGGATGTCCATCAAACAACACCTACGACGCTCTTATTTGTTCAGCAAATAACGGTGAAGAGGTAAGAGATTCCTCGAAGTTCCTTCGAAAGTTTTGATATCGCTGAATTTGCAAAACTCGGGATCTCAGGTGAACTTCGAACCCGCGATTACCCTCTCCGGGGTTTTCGTGTTAACCACTACACTAACCGAAAAGGATAGGCACTAAAGAAAAGTTAAAACATTGTGATTCTTCAACTTAACTGGATTCAGTGCTGATTTCTCCTCTCTAGATCATTTCTGTTTTGGGGGGATTGTTGATAGCAGCGTTAGGGTAATTAAATAGCTGAGCGAATGGCAAAGCAATGACATCGGTGGTGCAGTGGGTAACGCGTGAACTTCAGGAAAGAATAATTGCAGGTTCAAAGCCCACCTGAAGTTCCGAGTTTTGCAAATTCCTCAGCATCAGCGTCAAATCAGCCAACTGAGCGTCAAAGAGTTAGTTTACATGGTTATAGAAAATGATTCTATTAAGTTCACCTATGAAGTGTCAAATGATCTCAATCTGGAATAAGTCCAAGAAAGGTGTTACAAAAACGCAAAGATTTCCGGAGGAGCATTTCTAGAACAAGAATGAACTTGTGATGGATTTCAAAGTCAACATGTAATAGTACCGATATCCTTTGTTGAGACGTATGTAGCGCAGTGGTCAGAGGTGCCATGCCGGTGGTTCTCGATTTCATAGTGCGCTCCAGGCTCCCAAAGCCCTCTATCCCTCCGCGGTCCGCAAATTGCTGCCAGACTTGTATGGGAGGACAGCACCATTGACTGGATGGGTCACCGCGAGTCGTTTGTACAAGCCAAATATGCATTCAGTCACCTCTAATGAAGCGTAATGAAGTCAAGGTCAATACAGTCAATACAAGGGACATCTCTTGGGATTGATCAACGCCAAAAGCCCTTTCCTTTGTGCTTTATCCATTGTTAACACTTGTTCACCGGCGATTCTGGCCATGAAATAGCGTGTTCTGCTTATTGAAGAAAAACATCGAATTATCAATCAATGCCGGGGTTAATAGAAAGTCGGTCTTGGGAATTGACCTGATAGATTACTAGGTCCCGCAAGTCATTGTATAGGCCAGATATGCATTTTGCACACCCACCATGTTACGAGTCGGACGCATGCTAGGAAGCTCAATGTCGAGCACTTCATCCTTAATTTGCCCTTATATATTGCCCTTATAGTTAAAATCATCAGTTCCGTTGATTTTCTAAGGCTATGGTCCCGTCCTGAAATGAAATGCAATGTTCTATTTTCCGTGGCCACTGATTTGATTTCTGGAACACGTTATCGTTCCTGTATCGATCGATTTCAGCTTCTGAAGGTACTCGGTTTCAATCCGAATTCGTACTGGACGAATATATTTGCGCTTTTGTTGATGATCATCGGTATGCGGACGATTGCACTTCTGGCATTTTTGATTCGAATTAAACGAAGCAGCATTTAGTACCACATGGTTGATACTTTACAGTAAATCCATTATCCAGGAATACTACTCTTTATAGACATTCTTGAAGAATAAAAATTTTGCCATTTGTGTTTTTCTAATTCCCTTTTTCGTTGTGATGAGTTTTCCAGCCAAAGGTTTCAGAAAAAGAAGTGTTCATACTCCAAAAAAACGGAATCGGGAAAAACTATTTACTACTACATACTTCAAGAAATCTTGATCATGTTCTTCATAGTTTTTGAACACGTGCTCACGTGCGGCGCAAAGGGCGCGTGTGGCGTACTGGTCGGAGGAGCTCTGCAACACACATGTGGAATCGATCCTCACCAGGCCTTCCAACCCACCGTGGTTAGCAAATTGGTACCAGACTTGTCTGGGAGGATAGCGTCACTGGCTCGATACATCGATAAGCTACCATGAGTCATTGTAAAGGTCAGATATGCATTCAATTACCTCAAAACGATGCTTAATGAGATTGAATGCATGGCGCATCAGGCATTTGTCAACGCCGAGAGTTTTATTTCACGTTAGCCAAGTTTTTCTAGGTGATACGCGCTGCGCACAGAGAATGTCCAGAAACTTTAAGAGGGCTTAATGCGAGCTGAATGAATGGATGAGCTTAGCTGCTAAACGTTGGTACATAGATAATACTATTTTCTTAAGACAGGAAACTGTATTTTTATTGTGATGTAGGCTGTGGAGAACTATTTGGAATATTTTCGAAACAGTTTGGGTCACTAGGGGCGCATGGTGTAGTGGAAACGATGCTCGCCCATTACGAGCACGGTGCCGGTTCGATCCCATCCCTCCTAACTAAATATCTCATCCTTCCGAGGTCCAGAAATTGGTACCAAACTTGTCTAGGAACAGTTCGCTTTCCGCAATCTAAATGGAAGTGCTCTTAGCACGCTAATCTAGGATTCTAGGTAGAATCGACTCTACCAGTATCCGATGACATCGATAAGGGAGATGAAAATTCCCAAGCATCAGCCGAACTTACACGCCAAAGTTGGTAAACCTTTGCGGAAGACAAATGCGTGGGACGAAATCAAATGCACGATGTGCTGAGCTTAGTCCCGTACTTGTGAAGATGGGTGGAGCAAAAAAACTTTGTATCAGTTAATGTAATCCAAACATTCGGGATATATTACCGCGATTTATCACAGAAGTTCATCTTTGTTCAATTGTTCTGCTGTTACAGAATGTGAATAACGAGTCATTTTAAGATAGTTAGATCAGATACGTGTTTCTCATTGTATTCAGAATGTATGTGTGTCTTATTGAAATCAAGCAGAAATAAGTAATTAAATGATTAAATATGTATATAATAACCACAACGTTGCTGAGATATTTGCAAAACTCTAGACCGCAGGTGTCTATGGTGGGGAACGAACGCGCTATTATCCTTTCCGGGGAGTAACGCGTTCACCACCACACCATGCGGGTCCTTTGTTTCGCACGTCTCTCAGCTATTTCTATCGATCTTTTTGCCACAGCAATCACCCGTCAGCGGGGTTGATCTGTGGTGGTGAACGCGTTACTCCCCGGAAAGGATAATAGCGCGTTCGTTCCCCACCATAGACACCTGCGGTCCAGAGTTTTGCAAATATCTCAGCAACGTTGTGGTTGTATTTCGCTTAGTAACCTGCCATGAAAATTATAGAAGGCAGAAAACAAAACGTTAAAACAATGTATATAATAGTTTTTTGGATGTTTGCGAAATTGTTCAATTGATTTCTTTGAATGAGTTCTCACCACATCAAATGTGTAACAGGGATTTCGTCTACTGCCGGCATCACCAGTGTTCGACCAAAGGAAGGCGACATTTCCATTCGAAAAGCCAGTTTAGAATAAGCTCACGGCACTTGGAAAACTGAAGAACTCTCTGAGGACAGGGAATCCCACGACCAACTTTTTATTAACTTCAGCATTGATCAATAAGTAACTGTTTTGTTCTTGCGCAGAAAGGAACTTGTCAATAACAGGATTTATTCAATACTGCCTGACGTTTCGGCAGTTTCACCTTCTTAAGAGCTTGGGAAAGACAAACTGACATGCAACCTCTTCAGTCAAACACTTTCGCAACAGAAAAATATACTGAACGCCTAACTTTAGTTCGCATAGTAAGCGGCCCTTTCTGAACGCTCATTGTTTCGGGGTTTTTAAGGCTTCCGGTTGTTAATGATGTATAAGGCGATCTTTTGCAATCAAAACAAAGTGTTGTACGAGAAAAGTGTGGCGAATTCCGCTGTTCATAAACATAGCTCACTGGAGAACTCTGCCATAGTACTAGAAGGATTGAAGGCTTTCTTGGCTACTGGTCCAATCATTTGGCAATGATTCGAATTATAGGCGATATATGATAAAACTCTCGGCGTTGCACAATCCTACGTAGATGCGCCATACATTCGATTTCACTAAACATCGTTAGAGGTGATTGAATGCATATCTGGCTTATACAATGACCCTACTGATGTATACCAGACAAGTCTGTTACCAGTCCGCTGACCTCGGAGGGATGGAAGGCTTGGTGATCGTGGGGCACGGGATCGATCCCACGTGTATTTCGGGGCACCCTTAACCCCCTGCCTTACATGCACCCAACTTTACAGGTGATAAGGTAGCATTTTTCCTTAGTTGAAAAAGGCCAACTGGTCTGTAAATTTGGGTCATAACAATTTGTGTATTAAGGTATTCATTATTCCTTCAAATGGCAGTGTTATAGCTTTAAAGATAGCGTAGAGAAGCTTTGACAACCATGAAACTTTTTTCCACAGTGAATTTTTTGGTTTCTGCTTTGTCAAAGATAAATAGAAGATCGCTAAAATGCGAAAAATCGGAAAGTAGTATAAGGTTGTACGAAAGTAACCGTAGTTTTCAGTAACGTTGTTCGTAAGGTCTCTTGTTCTAATTCTGATATACCAGCACTAGCACGCAGACTCATAGAAATGTCACATGTACAATGGCAAGCTAACACAATGTAACACATTGGTTTTTGAGGAATAAGAACATGGGAAACAAAATATGAAAGTAATGAGAAACAATAATAGTTAGTATAGACACCCGACATTCATTTTGGAATAACCCAATTCGAAGTTTAACTTTTACGATGGCGTCGGTCTCAACACCAGTATGTCTCTTGGCAAATTTTAGTCGCCATAGGATAACTTCGATCGAAGTAGACACCGTTCACGTACACCGTTGGCCAAACCTGTAATTCGAAAGCTAGTAGTTATCGTAATTGTCATTTAGTCATACTACTTTGGGTTAGAACGGTAGTTCGTCCACATGTTTCGAAGAGATGGTGGACAGCGGCCATTACCACTCGTAAACCATTTTCAAACCTTTTTCTACCACCTTTATGTCGTCCTGTTGATCGCCGAGTGACTTGAGAGGGCGCTAGTAAATCTCCCATTTTTCCCTGTCGCGTGCAAGAGTAGCTCAAAGGATTCTGCTCGCTCTAAGGACTCGTCGAGCATCATATCTTTCTTCAAGGCTCTTTGTGAAGCACTCTGTCCATCGGGTCGGTGGTCTTCCTGCAGTACGTTGGACATCCCGAGGAACCCAGTCACTAACGGCTCCTGTCCATCGGTTGTCATTCATACGCATTACGTGTCCGGCCCACCTTATCTTCGACTGTTTGGCCTACAGAACGCCATCTTTGATTTTTGATCGTTGACGCAGATCGGAGCTTCGGATCCGATCCCTTACTTGTGTGGAACGAGATAGTCCTAGCATCGTCCTTTCGACTGCGCGTTCAATTACGCTGAGTGAACTTTCATCCTGCTCACACAACCAGGTTTCTGACGCATACATTAGGGGCAGGAAGTACCGGTGAGTCGAAAAGGTGGGCACGGAGTCGGGTGTTCTTTATCCGCTTCACTACATCCTCGATGCTCTTGAAAGCTCCCCAAGCCTCTCTTTTCTTTCTGCTGAACTCTGGAGCTAAGTCGTTCAATGTGTTGATTTCCTGGCCTAGATAGACACATCTGAAGCATTAGGAGGTATTCGTTCCGTGAATGGGGCGAACAAAACCGATCCGTTCCTTATGAACATCGTTTTTATGAGATTTAGTCGAAGACGAATTTTTCCACAGGTTTTGCCAAATTCGGCAGGCGTTCTTTCCGCCTGGTTAATGCTTGATGTTACAAGAACGATTTCGTCAGCAAAGCGAAGATGGTGTCATTGCCGACCATCGATTTTCACTCCCATGTTGCCCCACTCCAATGTTCGTATGACGTTCTCGAGGATGGCGGTAAATAACTTTTGCGAGATGGTATCGCCTTGCCTAACTCCTCTTTTGACGTCGACGTTAATAACGTTATAGAATGGTTGCATTTTGAGTGCAAAATTTCTGCATACAAAGAATCTTTATACGCTGAGTAGGGACTCTCCGACTGTCCAAGACTTCCATGACCGCTTCTACCTCAATTGAGCTAGAAGAAATAACAATATTTCAAAACCGATTTTCCTATTGCTAATCAACATGCATTCTTTCTTTGATGAGCTTACACGAGGTTGATAAATATATTCGTTTTCGGGTAGCGCTTCGATGTTTTCGTCTTCATCGGAACCGATTATTGTTATTGCTCTTTGCCAGCTGATAATGATACCAACTTCTGCAGGATTGATTGCCCAGAAAAAAACAAGCCACTATCACCGAACTATCATAGCTATCCACCATCAGCAACCTGCATAAAAGGACATTATCGAGTCATAGAGTGAGTATGCCCCATGCCTCGAGGAGGGGGCTCGCTGAGGTATACTTAACTCGACACAAAGGCGAAGTCGCCACACGAGGCGAAGAAAAAACGTGGGCCATCGACTCGGAATATCGGCTCTGACGAAGGTGAAGACGTCGAAACGTTAGCCGAAAAAATATATTTATCAACCTCGTGTAAGCTCATCAAATAAAGGATACAGGAACTAAAAGCCTTCTTTAAATCGATGAAAGCAAGACAGGCCGGGAACGCTGACGCCACCGACTCCTCTACTGTCGCATGTAGTTCTTTTCCAGTGTCATAGATAGTGTTGAATAGGTGGCGTCGTCTCGTCTGGACCAGTCTGATAACGTCGTACCTCATCCTTTTTGTAGGTATAGGTCACCACATTAGTCCTTTGCGATTTTGGCAGCTTAGAATACTCATGAAATTTTAGCAGCCTCTCCGTGCTCATCGTGCCCAACACTACCGAATCGGGTGCCCTTTCGGTGTCAGGGTAATGAGGCCTATTTATTTCACTATGTTTAGCCTTTTGATACCGACGAATAGATTTCTGAGCTCTGAACATGGGAGCTGGACATACTCACGGTTACCTTGCCGGTCTCTTCCAGAATGGACATGGAGCTTATTTGTTGGAGGCGACTCTTAACCGCCTCACATATACTTTCTTGTCGCTTGACTACAGTCCCTTCGCCGAAGCGAGTCGCAGAATGCGATCCGCATAAACGAGAACACACCCACGCATGCATGCATGAATACGTCTCGTAAATACAGAAAGTATGTGTCAAATCGGCGCTACAGAAACAGGGAAACCATCCCCTGGATCCAGGTTGCAGTCGCATAGATGCCGACAGCAAAGTGCAGTTGAGATAGTAGTATCAAAGATGAGTGTAAAGAAATAGTCACTCTTAAGATTTAATACTATCGGGGAGAATTGTGAAATCATATTGCATTCAAGTAATTTCTGACAAAACTCACCCTCACTCCTGTACGATGTGTGTTCACCATCGAATAGTAATTCAACAGTTCACCTGTCTGTGTTGTTGCACATTCGACTAGCCTTCTAAAGGAAAGGAAATTTGGCACTTAGGATCTTATGCTTATATCATAGTGAAACAGAAGCAATTAAAAAAACCGTGGAATGTCGGGAAATTGTAACCTGGCAGAAACTAAGAAAGAGCAAACCTTTGAGATCTGACAGAAAGTCGGCTTAAACAACGACTAAAAGCTTCACGTAATGTCGCGAGACCTTGAACACATGTGACAAGACCGAAATGTCGGAGAGGAAAATACTGGAAATAGGAGCCTTTCATCATGTCGTTAGTCACTATTCCATCGTTGATAATCAATCGATTTCGATCAATGTTCTGTCGGTAATCGGTTGCTACACGACTTCTTGGAAGTATAAGCCGATTCTTATTTTTGCTGATGGTAGCGAGCGAGTTTAAGTCGCGGTTTTTTCGCTCCATGCAAAAAAATATCAATTCTATGTTTACGTAGAATACACAGAAAACCAGCAATTACTTGGTACAACTCAATTTTAGCGAACGCTATGGAATAGTGTAACTTTTACAGAAGGACGACGTTGAGCGTTGTGAAGCTTTATCTCTAAAGCTCACTAAAATATGAAAAGGTACAACGATAAGCTTACGATTCACACATAACTCACGTTATTCTTAATATCTCAGATTAGCTTCGGTATATTTTCGGCTATGATAAAGGATAAAAAAAGGATAAAGGCTCTCGGCGTTGATCAATCTTTGAGGGATGTGCCATACATTCGACCTCACTAAGCATTGTTGGAGGTGATTGAATGCTTATCTGGCCTGTACTCGCGGTGGCTTACTGATGGATGCATCAAGGCAGTGCTGCTATCTTCCCAGACAAATCTGGTACCAATTTGCCAACCCCGGAGGGATAGAGGGCTTGGTGGGCTATGGGCGCAGAGATCGATTTCGCGTGTGTCGCAGTAGCGTCTCCAACCACTGCGCCACATACGCCCTCGGCTATGATATAAGAATTATATAACTAATAAGGTGTTGTCACGGTGACGGAAACGAACATTTAGCATACTGGAAAATTTTCCACCATTTCCATTCTAAGGTAAAAATGTTATCAACACAGAGTTAAACACACAAATAAATAGATGAAAAAGTGGGTATTGCGAACTTGAATAAAAAAGAGAGCATGGACTCACTGAAATGGCGCAGTTTTGTAGTCGATTTAGATCGCATTCAGTCGGCCCGTGCATACATTTACAGTGAAAATTTCGATTATAGTCGTAGTCACAAGTCCCCTTACCGAATGGAATTATCTAAAAATTTGCATAATCATGCAAAGATCACTATGTACGTGGGCAAGCGTGTGGGCCGGCGTATGCGTACTCATGTGTTTGTTTGCTTATATATATATATATATATATATATATATATATATATATATAATACGTGGTGTGTGTGTGGTGTGAATGCTTATGTAATACGGATAAATATGCACATGTACGTATATATTTATATATATGTATGTACATATGATATATTTGTGGACGGTGTATGCTGCGCTAATGTGTTCACATATTCTATGGACGCATGTATTTATAATATATGTACATTGTATCTATGTACTTTTTTATTATTTTATTTTAGACTACCCGTCTTCACGTCTACTGTATGGGTCCCACCAATTTTGCTATTCGTCTCCTGGCTTCCGTCATCCACTAAGATTTTCAGACTTTTACGTGTGGCTTCCGCCGCTGCTTGATGATTTTCATCTCAACTTGAATGTTGTAGTAGAATGCTGATCGAGTCAACCTCCCTGGAGTCCTGGGATAACTGTGCTGGAGCGTGCCCAATTATACTTCAAAGAGTGATTTTTTTACGGGAAAGTTCGGTACCAATTTCCCGACCTCGGAGGGATGGGAGGCTTCGTGAGCCCGAAGCAGTATGGAACCAGTACCGTGCTCCTGATAACCGCCATCACTACCACTTTGCCATTCAAGCCTGTATGTATATATGTATGTAACATGCCAAACATTGTGTATAATAGCAGAAAACTATGCGTGACCGAAGAAATGAAGAATGCAGTGCTTTAAGAGAAACATCGGAGAAGTAATTTATATTAATTGCACTAATAGTAAAGTACTAATGTTATAGGTAAAATAGTTAATGCTGCATAGCAGTAACATCGTAAACATATTATTATAACCTATTCTGAGCCCTCGAGATCCCTCGCTGAGTGACTAGATTATCAAAAAAAAAAACTTACTTTTCGTAAACGACGATGGGCTCACGTTAAAATAAAACTTAGAAGGCTCTAGACAAAGGAATTCCAGGAAGAAGAATCGTAGAAGGTAACTCCTGGGAAACAATTCTCATAGCACCATTCATCACAAACCACACATGTCACATGTGATCCCACTAACAATGAAATAGTCCGGGCAGTCATCAACCAGTAAAGTCCGTTCCTCTCCATCGCGCAGTACACAACCCTCTCAGTAGACCCCGCTTTTTCAAAGCGGAAGAAGAACACCACTCATTTGGTACTAAGCTCTTTTTTTGCTATTTTTGGGTAAACTTAGACACGGATAGCTAGACAAGCTCTGTTGTAGCTTAAGTTTATTCTTGGCTATGCTCCTTCTCACCTTGGAAAACCGCACATAAAGGTGAGAGAATAGACCATAGTTTCACACCATTTTGAAACGTGTCCAACCATGATGAACTAGAAAATTATAACTAGTTTTGGAATATCATGCAATTCGTTCCGGCTGAAATTGAGCCGGAAGGGTAATTCATGAAATCAAAACTAGATGGAAACATATTTCATCAAATACGAACTGAAGGCGGGCATGAAAGTTCGTTGCTGTGCCGTTAAATAAATAACATCACAAGAAATTTGACAGCTTAGGTAGGATTAGTTTACTACACAACGATTCATAATTTCGGTCTATACGGTAGCGAAAACACCTTGTATTTGGGGGTCTCGTCTTGCATCTTCGCAAATTTTCAGCTCATTTGCTACGTCACTGATTTCAAAGAACGCCGAAGCGAATTGCTTGATGTCCAGAAATGGAAAGAACGGTGAAAAATGGTAATGGCAAAAGATTTTCAAATTAAGCTTGAAAATTCTAACACTAAGGAAAGAAAGAATATCGCTTAAGAAGTGTAGCTTATCACTATAATGCTGATGTAGTTAGGACGTTAAATTTGAAACGAAAACTTAATGGCAAGCATTCCATAGCGGAATCAATGGTAGAACGAGGGACTGATTTGTGAGTAATGGGACTTTAAAACAAACCTCTTATCTCATTCGCCTCCTATACAATATTCTTAAGGACAAGGGAATCGAGATGTCATGGGTCCAGACCATAAAAGTAAATATGCGTCTAGTCGACATTGTTGTGTAGGTCTGACAGATTCTTTAGCTAGAATTTCGTATTTGCTTTCGTTTTTTCTTTTTTTTTTAATAATACAAAAAGTAATAGGCAACAAGTTAAAAAGTGAACATTGTGATTTCAACTTAAACTTCAACTTGACTGGGTTTAGTGTCGACTTGGGCTCCACAGATCAATCCCGCAGGAGGGTGGTTGCTTAGGGCAGTGCTCAATAGAAAACTAGAAAGACATGCGAAAAGAAGGATCTGCATGGTGTGGTGGCGAACGTGTTAGCCTCCGCAAAGGGTAGTAGTGGGTTCGCTGCCCACAGCAGACACCTGCGGTCCGGAGTTTTGCAAATATCTCAGCATCATTGTGGTTATATTTCAAATAATGCCTTGCCGCGAAAAATTATAATAGACAGCAAATACATGAAGATCAATACAGGGAAAATTCGGACATATGTCGTGGCATTTTAATCGATAAGGTTAGTTCATCAATAGCGCAAACGATTTTGTGTATTATTCTCAATTTTTATTCGTTTATTTTTCTCCATATTTTGTTATTAGTGTTTGCTTTTCTTAGGTCAAATATAAGCGAAGCCGTTGCATGAGTAAAGAGCGAACGAAGGAAAAAAAATGAACGAAGCGGAATTGAACTACACTGAAAACAAGCACTAAAGCCGATGATGAACATCGTGGATCGCTACAAGATGTCAAGAGACACTTTTCTCACGTCATCACTAGGAAGACTTCATTAAGTTTCGTAGAAATGCTTCGAAAAAAAATTCTGCAAAAAAATATGTGGTTGTTCAACGAAAATGGAAATGATTTGGACTTATATTCGACCACCTTAGTTATATACATCTCAGCCATCTCGATCAACCTAATGACGATCAAATCCTGATCATCTAAATCACCTTGATCATCTCTACGAGATGACTTATTGCTATCGCAAAGGCATCAGTGTCCGCTAAATGAGAGCGAACTGGCTTTTACGATCAAGGTGACCGAGGTGTAAATGATCCAACCAGATAGTGCATACTGTGTAAAACGGTAATAAAGTAACTCTATTACAAAAGTTCAAAGTAATTTCACTAAAATTAATAATCATTTTGAGCCAGAAAGACTAGTTTTATGGGTTACGATAGTTACTATTGATGGGGTCAATTGAGGAATATCGATTACGAATTCATGGTCTGCCACAGTGCTTAAATTCTTAAAGCTTGTAAAGATTGAATCTCAACGCTTTTCGTGAACTTTGGCTGGGAGAAGAAAAAAGGTCTATTAAATCTTCTTCTATTATTTGTAATTGCAAAAAGGAAAAACTCTAAAAGTCCAAAACTCTACAAACTCAAAAGACGTGGTCAAACCTCACTATAACGTCAACTGAATTTAATGAAAGTTTAGGAATTAAACATATATTCGATAAGTATACTGATACGGGATGGTTGATACTTCATCGTTTTGTAGAGTGCATGGTTGGAAATTAATGTAGCCAGAAATGGGAGGACTTTCAGACTGAGATCTTCAGTAGAGCACGCTTATTAGTGTTAATGTCGGATTTCTTCTATGATACCTACAGGAGGAGATTAAAAAATTCTACTGTAAGACCTAGGCGATTCATTTTGTGGCAAGCCCTTAAGCTTTACGGCAAGCGTTCATGGTGTGACAAGATAATAGTGAAAAGCTCTTTCGATTCTAGGGAGAAGCCTAAGAAGAAACATAAAATACCTTACTGTATAGGTCACAAGAAGTTCGTGTAAGCTTAACAATCTAGAATGATATATTAGACAGAGGGTCTCTGCCATGTTTTTTTTTCGTGTGCTTTACTAATGAATATGGTTTCAAAATCTCGAGCTGTTGTAGGCTTTTTTCTTGCAACTTAATTTCACCTGAAGGTTCATAATCCCTGGACGAGTTACGTAGAAAGGCCAAATTTGTTCACGTAATAGACGAGTGCAGTAAGGACATTGCGATTCAGTGAATATAGTCACATTCACAACTTGCCCGTGTACCGTAGAAATAAGCAGTAAAGCTGCCGACAACCACAACTTCGCCATACTCTACAGGAATCCTGAAAATGAGGAAACTAACATGGAGTGGATCGAATTCAGATTCTTTGCAGAAGAACTATTCAAGCGAACATCAAAGTTCGAATAATTGCAGAGTGGAATCTATCTGAAATCATTGCCCTGCACGAGGCTCGTTACGAATTTCCTGCGCATAGAATGATCCATGATCTAAAGCAAACACTCCGGCACTCTATGGGAAGTGAAAAGAGCTTAAAATTTATGATACTTTAAAGCACGATATATTGTTATGTGATTGCGTGATATATAATATGTTTGGAAGCATTTTTATGGACACATCTTGGATTTCATCGTTACCATTGTGAATAGAGCAAACCAGAAACCAGCACTTATGAACTGTAATATGAGCCACCTATAAAAGGTTAACGAGCAAAGTACTTAAGGCTAATCAAGCCATGTTGAATGCGCCACGGATTCGATAACATTCTTAGCACTCTGAGGGTGATTGACTGCATATCCGATCTTTACCATGAGTTGTAGAAGCCTACCGATGTATCAAGTTGCTTTCCCTACTTTCCGAGACAAGCTTGTTACTATTCTCCCCAACCTCGAAGAAAGTGGAGTGCTTGGTTAATGCGAAACATGGAGTCAAACCAGTGATCATGCATGCATTGTAAAGCACCTTTAACCACTGCGCCACCGCGTGCTCTGTCGTCAATTGTTATATATCGCGCCGTTCCAGCTTCACTTGCTCAAGCGATACCAACATTATCATATCTATGGTATGATGCTAGGTTTTTTGTTTTTGACAAGGAGATAGTTACACGTAGTTCACACATTTTGCTGCAGCATCCAATTACATTCGGCTCGGCTTCCGGATTGGAAATACTGAACTGCTTTTAAGGCTTAGCGGTTCCCGCTCATGTATGGGGGCGGAAGTTTCTGTTCAAACTCAAAACAGAAATGTATTTTTTAAAATGAACGACTATTGGAAACGAAAACTAACCTTCTGAAATAATACGGCAAAACAATGACGGCGTGGTAAGAAAGGTAAAACTCTATAATCTGTTTCGAGCGTTGAGCTTTACCTTTACAGGTGATGAGGCTCTTCACGTGTTGGTATTACCAGAAGTCTACCTCTTATATGAACACACCTAGACCACCAGCGGATCAACTCAGAGAAATACTGTTTTTTCTGGGTGGTAAATACGAAGTCAGCCATTCAAGCGAAGGGACTAGAACTGGCTAATCTCTGTATTGGGTTCTATTGTGATGAAACCATGCCTGTTGTGTTCATGGAATCCCCGTAGTACAGATCATCCTCACAGACGTGAGACCTTTTTGCGAAAAAGCCGTGACGTTTTGGTCCACCGCATATAGTTCATAGACAATCATGTTTACAGTCTACCACCTGCTTCGATCACGATTAGATTCTTTCAAGTACAAGTATCATTCGCATCTGGACGACTTCTTCTCGGTAAGACTCTAACCTTCTTTAAGAGATGACTTTCTAACCACTTGAAGAAGTGCTAGGTGTACAACGAGTAGAAAATCGCAATATTTTCGGGAAATAGTCTTAAATGCTACAGCAGAATCCGAATCATTCGCTGCTTCTGTTTCTTCCTTAAAAAGATTTATGGATGACCTACAGACGTTGAAGTAGAAATCGGCGTATATGAAGCCCAACTTTTCATATACATCCATGATTGTGCCTAATTTTCGCGCCATTCGCTTGAAGGTACAAATAGTTTTTCGCAGTGTCTGTATGCTTTGAAAACTCGTCCAAAATAAGGTTTTCTGTAAACTATTAAGTGTAGATAATAACTTTTCGTGCACAGCGTTGTCTGGTTCAACATTTTTGTTGAACAAGCTATCGATTAAATATAAAAAGTGTAGCAAATGAGCTCCTTAAGAGAAAGTGAACAGTCGGAAAGAGTGTGAATTGGGATTAATGCGTACATTCGATGAACGATTGCAGATAACTTATTGTCCGCAACTTTTCAAGAATAGATTGGAATAAAAAATAAAGCATGAAGCCCTCGGCGTTGATCAATCCCTGAGGTATGCGCCATGCATTCGACTTCATTAAGTATCATTGGAGGTGATTGAATGCATATCTGGCCTATACAATGACTGGCGGTGGCATACTGATGTGTCGAGGCAGTGCTGCTATCTTCCCAGAGAAGTCTGGTACCAATTTGCCAACCCCGTAAGGATGGAGGGCTTGGCGGGCCATGGGCGTGGGGATCGAATCCACGTGTGTGTTACGCTTCCGACCACTGCGCCACTCACTTCATTCAGAGCGATTCTAAATTCCATGGATGATCTTCTTGTCAAACTTCTAATGATAGAATCCAGTAATCACTACAAGGTTCAGATTGGTTTATTGTTCACAAAATTCCTATTCATTTAGCTAGATCTAACTGTTCGGTTTGTTTTTTTTGGTGAATAATTGAGAAGAAGCATTGTAGAATATCAAAAAGTTTTCACTCGTAGTGGGAAATGGCAATAAATCATTAAAGGCACTACATGATAGTCGTTAAAAAAGTGAGGAAGACATTATTGAGTGCTGGATGAGAAGAACTGTGAACGATCACCAATGTCGGCATTGTCGAGCTGGTGTGTTCGCTTCGGGATAGTTCTGAAGGCGGCGATCAAATACAAATAACATCAACGGCGGTGAACGACATGAGCGATATGAGCGATACGAAATCGTAAACCGGATACGAAATGGAGCAAAAAGAGAATTTTTTGTGTAATGCTATCGTTCAGAGAACAACGCATCGAGATTGAACGCAATGAGACTTCATCGGAATTGGCGTTGAATTCGACTAATAAGAAAGATCGCACCACTCCTATGATATCCGTTCAAGTAGCCATTCCTACAGTAGAACAGTGAAAGTAGGCAGTCTTACAGTAGAAGTAGATGATATTGCTTACTTAATTACTTAGATACCTGAGAAATTCATTCTTACATATGGTGTTGGTGGCTTCACCACATTCTCCACTCGTTTCACTGTCCTGCTTTCATCCGCTTTCCACTAAAGTAATCGAGTTCCTCTGTAAATTCGGACAGCTATGTCTTGATAATCCATTTTGCCCTCTTCATTGACATGTTGCGTACTGGTGTGGCTCAACTCTTCATGGAAAACTCCAGATAGCTGGGATAGAGTGCTTCCAGGTTTTCATCACCGAAAGCAACTGTACTTCGTGGATCAGTCAACGGCGTTCCGCCTGGCCACCAAGGTTCTTACAAAACGCTACCGATTCCGCTGCCCGCTACGAATCTCGTAATTAGTCAGCGATTTTCTCGGTAACAAGAAAATCTAACAAGTACTTTGCTACAGATTTGTTCTATCGGCTTCAGTTACAAAGGATAAAGGTTAGAGCTCTCGGCGTTGATCAATTCCTGAAGGATGCCTCTTGCGTTTCGTTGAGCACCGTTAGAGGTGAATGAATGCATATCTGAGCTATACAGTGACTATCAATGTTGCCTATCAATGTAGCGAATCAGTGGTGCTTTCCTTACAGAAAGGTCTAGTATCAATTCCCTGACGCGGAAAGATGGAAGGCCTGCTGAGCCTAGGGCATGGGATTGGATCTATTGTAGGGCAGCTCTAACCACTACGCTACATGCTCCCCTTTGCATCAATTCTAGAACAGAAATGTAAAAAAACTTATTTTTGCTTCGTTTTTGTTATTTTGCCATTATGTTTCCTTACAAGTTGTTAATGATGAGGGGTTACTGTTTCAGTCGACTCCGTTCTCTTCAGAAGCGTTTTAATATCTTGCACGTTTAGAAGAACTAAAACGAAGGAGTAATGCCAGAGTTTAGATGATACGATAAGATTGCTTCATTCCCAAAGAACGATGTAATTTAATCAATACAGAGACTGTTTTAATGCTAGCTTTCGGAATTTTTTACTGTCTTGCTTTTTATGCAGCTGCTTTTTCATTGTCTACCGGATTCATTGCTATTGTAAATACACCATTGTCAATCGCTCAGTCGATTGATCTCAATTGTTGCCGCGCCATCACATTGTCGTTGGTTTGATCTTAAACCTTGGCCCAACCAAGCCTTTCTTTCCTGTAGGTTGGAAAATTGGTAGCCAATTTGTTTATGAAGATAGTAGCACTGACTTATCACATCAGTAGTCCATCGTGAGTTATTGCAAAGGCCAGATATGCACTCAATTACCTCTAATGACGCTTGATGAAGTCGAATGCATGGCTCATTCCTTAGGGATTGATCAAGATCCGGGATTTCATCGCCGAGATGCTCCGAAGGAATAGCAGGCGTATGGTAGAATCTTTTAATTTAGAACTACTGGATCAGCCCTGCCTGTAACGAAGACCTGGGGAACTGCTAGCATTGTTAGCACAATTATCTGAGGATTCCATGGTGAAGCAAGCTGTCCTATCATTCAGTATTTCGTCGAGAATTGAAGATAACAGATTTGCAAACTTGGAAGAAGTTAGGGACTAACTCACTTAGACTACAATTGCAGAGCGACTAAAGGAATAGAAATGATGGTGCCACATGAAATCTGAAGACGGGTAAGCTAGTTCTTCTAGGTATTCATATATTCCTACTACTGTCCGTTTTTTGTCCTCGCTACTCATTCGTTTCTTTAGGAATTTCATCGACGACGATATCAATGGCAACAATCTTTCATAAATTCATGCTTTATGTAACTGCTACATTTGCGTTGTTATTTTTAACACACTATAGCGCGGGTGTGGCTCAGCGGCTGGAAGCCTCACCGCGACACACATGTGGAATCGATCCCAGTGCTCATGGCCCACCAAGCGTTCCATTCGACCGCGGTCGGCAAATTGATACCAGACTTGTTTGGGAGAATATCAGCACTGGCTCGATACAACGGTACACCACCGCGAGTCATTGTAAATGCCAGGTATACATTCAGTCACCTCCAACGATACTTAATGAAGTCGAATGCATAGCGCATCCCTAAAGGGGCTGATCAACGCCGAGAGCTTTACCCTTTATCCTTTATTTTTAACACTGGTACTGAAACAGCTTAAAGCTCTGGTGATCTTTTTTT